CCCCAAAACCCCAAAACCCCAAAACCCCAAAACCCCAAAACCCCAAATATGGAATATATAGTTGAAATTTTTACAAAATGCATTATATTTTTCGAGAAAATAGGAACTTAAGGAAGGTAAGACAGCGATGTATCGAACTAAATGCCTAATACGGGCTAGGAACAACACAAAATATCAAAATAAAAGTTAATTAATTCCCTAGAGGAGTCGTATGTTTAGCACCTATAGATCCGTCGGTTTCTATACCCTCTCTTTGCAAGAAGCCTCTAGAACTTTTATTACTGGTTGAAGGAGGTACCAGAACTATGTTGGAGCAAGCAAGTATCTCTTCTCTGAAAATTTTCAGAATTAATTTAGGTTTGCCAGACTTTTTCCTACCAGATTTTCAACTTCATATGAATTTTTCATAAAACATTTTGTACCTGAAAGTAGAAATATAAACTGATAAAATCTTAAAAAGGTATACCTTCCCATGTCACAGACATGAAGAAATTTCTGAAATTTTTAGATATAAATGATCACGTAGAAAGCCAACCTCTAGGAACAAAAAATAACACAAGGATTTTCCCTTCGATTTCGTACAGCCAGGATCCTCCAGGACCTCTAATTGAATAATTGTACTATGAATTATTATTTAGAGTTCGAATTTCTACTAAGCGTAATTATCAGCCTTCCTTGATTTCTGTACTAAAAATATGCCAAATTTTGGGAAAACTCCACGCCAGAAATATATTATCGCCCGAAAGAACAATATTTATAAGAAAAAATAGTTAATCATTAATAATAATTTCTTTTGTAAAGGATGTCAATGATTCATTCAGAAATTCATATTCCAACAGGGAAGAATGAGCCAAGAGTTGAGGAAATACAGCATGAGTTTAGCCATAACATTCCTTTGCTTGAGAGGCAACTATGAGGAAAGAAGTACAATCACGAGGGCTATACCAGAACTTTTACTGTAGATTCTTGCTTCCAAAGCTTGTTTATCCTCAGAGAAAGCCAAAAGAGTTTAATTTTTGGGAACACAGTTGGTACTACCCCTTCTTACTTCCTTAAAGAATCAGAAAAATTCAAACCTCCAATGGGAATGTCTAAGCAAATCCAAGATAAAAGACTCAGTCATGAAATTAATGGTGGTACCATTAGCAGTACAAGGCCTAAAACCAGCAAGCGGCCATGAAGAATCCTCCCAGAAGATACTATAATCTATAACGATGCATTAAAATTCAAAAATCGTGTGAGGTTTAATCGTACGCATGACTGAAGTAGGTCCCCTATTTTTACTTCTTGGAAGCGTTTTAGTAATTTATGAAAAATTTCTGAATTTTCAAAGACATCTCCAACCAGCATTTTATGAGCACCCATATTTTATGAAATATAAGCGCAGAGGCAACGGATGAAGCTCCGATTCGCAAAATTTTAGCAGAGAATCATCAGTCTATAATCGGGATAATAACCTCTGATATAGGAATGTTTCATACACTTCTCCAAATCTGTGAAAAGAACCAGACCCGAATTGAAGAGTTTTGGAATTCCTTCGATACTCTGAAGAAAGTTCACGTAAAGATTCTCAAAGAGCTGAGCGATAAAGTTATGTGGAAAAGAAAGAATTTTGTTTCTCTACACTCCCGCATCAGAAAGATTGGGGAGAAAAGACACACCTTCACTGTAAGGGAAGTCAAGTTTCTTAAGAAAATGGTTAATAAGCAGCAAAGAAAAGGCCGCACTGATTTTAATGAACTAGTATATTATTTCCCTGGTAAGAAGGAAGAGCAGCTTATCAGAAAATATAATGAGGAGAGCAGAATTTCGTCTGAAAACTCATCTTCATAAAAATTCATAAATTATAACGATTTTAAATTGCACATCGGTAATTCAATTCATCGTTCTATGACGGGGTTTTGGGGTTTTGGGGTTTTGGGGTTTTGGGGTTTTGGGGTTTTGGGG